AAGGTGTCGATATAATTTTAGCTGAATGCAACTTAGGGATCATGTCCGAGGGGAGGAAAACATGGTCTATATGGGAATAATGACTATGAGCCCTTGAAAAGTGGGAGTAGTCTCTAGAGAAGGGATTGGCCTCCCTCCACACGTCAATTAGGTCATACCGATATAAAAGCGGCGCAAAATTGTGGCTTTGTGTTTAGAAGGCAATTTAAGTTTAATTACATGGGATTTATCAAGTATATGGTCTAGGGCCAGATTTGAGCCCCCTGCCAAAAATCACATATCCCTCTAATTCTCTAAACAGACTTGAAAAGAGAACGGAAAAAGGCCACCTGGTTCATATTAGGGGCATAGTAGAGAAGAAAAGACACCATATTACCCTCTAAATGACCCTTCACCAGGAAGTATTGTCTCTCCCTATCCCCTAAAACTTTAGTTTCAGTAAATAATGGTTTAGAAAATCAGAGTGCCGCCCCTCTTTTTTTTGGAGGCATTAGCAAAAAAACAGTCGGAAAATCCCTATCAATATATCTGGGAGTAAAGGAAGGGGCAAAATGCATTTCCTGTAAGGCCACAATATCTGCTCTCAAAGACTTATAAAATGGGAGAATATTTTGAGTCGCTTAGAAAAGGAGCCCAACCCTTGGACATTATGAGAGAACAATTGGACCATAGCAGAGCATTATTTTTGGGTTGACATGGGAAGCAAATGGCAAGGTCACTATCAGACAAACCCACCCCTCCATATAGTGTGTCAAGTAACCTGAGGCAGGAAAAAATTCCCAGGCTGACCCTTGGACAAGAGAACTAGAAAAAGTTAGGGAAAAAGATGAGAGGAACCAAGCCCGAAGAAAGGTGTGCACCCACCTACAGATTGATTAACAATATGTAACGTAAGATAACAAAATACCAATATCCTAGATGCTAGGTCAAGGACCAAAAGAGTCTACACAAAGTCAAACAATGGGGACAGTCTTTGAAATGGGGAGTGTGCATAGACATTTCCCGGAGCCCTGGGGTCCACACGTAACATCCATAAAACTTTTAAAGCCAACAGAGTATTTTACCAAAATACATCAACCAGAATCATAAACCAGTTTGAGCTCACACAGAGGCCAATGCCCTACAACGAGGCCACTGAGAGGCCTCCGTCAGAATTTAACACACATTAATAAACCAAGACTTCCAAGGCACCCATGTGGTGTTGCAGCAGCGGATTTCTTCCTGGAGGTTGGAGACCACAGAGGTGATAGTGGAGGGGGGGGGCATTAGTTTTAGGCAGATTCCAGGAGGTGGGACTAAGGGAGATAAAACCCAAATTCAACAGAAGTCTTTCTCCCTCAGAGAATGTAGAGAAGGAGTAGGATTTGCCATGATAAAGAAATTGCAGACGAAACGGATAGTTTCATCAATCGTGAATATCCCTCTGGATCAATGATGAGAGCAGCGGTTTGAAGGCTCTTCTCTTTTAGATGGTAGCTTGAGAGATGTCTGCGAAGACTTGAATCCGATGTCCCTCAACTTTTAGATCTGGATGTTCCCTAGCATAACGCATCACTGATTCTTTAACTTGGAAAAAAAAGTACGGTTTCACAATTATGTCCCGAGGAGGGCCATCTGGCCGCAAAAGGGACCAAGGCCCTGTGGATACGATCTATTTCCAGATGAATGTCATCAATCGTCGGATCCGCTGCATGAATAAGGGAATGGGCAGTGGATTCAATATCTTTTACTGTTTTGGGGAGCCCTCTAATTCTGAAAATGCCCCGTCTGGCCCAATTCTCAAGATCATCAATTTTATTGTAAGCCTCATCTAAGCGATCCTGTAAATTGGCAATCATGCTAGAATTTTGAGTCACTGTGGACTGTGTTATTAACTTTAGATTTGATCTTCTCGAGATGATCCCCCAATTATCAAAAATCTTGTTTCAGGTCAGAGACCAATTTAGTTGTAGCTTTATCTAAATTCCCACTGCAGTAAATCAACAAAATGTTTAATATGTATGGAATGTAGTGCGGGACTTTCCAGCCAGTCAGGTGGGCATGGAGACAGCCCCCACCACCTCCACCAGAGGCTCAGGAATGTGTCCAGGGTGCTGGTGACCAGGGGCCACTGTAATTGGCCCCTGAAGCACCAGGAAGAAGTGAAGCGATCAGCAGGACATCCGCTCTGGCCGCCTGTGCATGCGCACTCGGTAGGCAGATTTTGCATTAAAAAAAGCTCCTGGCCCTTTCCAAAAACATGCACCAGGTGAAAATGCGGAGCTGTGAACTGACCCATAGGAAATCATGTTAAATGGAATGTACTATTATTATTATACAGTATTTATATAGCGCTAAAAGGTTTGCTCAGCGCTGTACATTATAGTGGGGGACAGTACATGAGAATACAGTAACAAAATAATACACGAGGGGTTCGAGGGCCCTGCTCTTTCGAGTTTACAATCTAGGACTAAATGCAAAATGCTGCAGAAAACGCTTAGGTGTGAACCTAGGATGACACATGCTGGGAGTTGTTATAGTCACCAATACTAAAAGCTGGGAGTTATTACTGTGGTCACCCACATAACTGGAGAGTTTTTACTGCATCCACTACCACCAATGCTACGGTTTTATTGCATTAATTTATATCAATGCTTGGGGTTATTACTGCGTCAGCTGACACCGATCCTGGGGGCTACTATTGCAACCAGTGATATTGTTGGGAGTTACCATTACTGACACCAACGAAGAGGCTTAGTTTGTTGCGGCTTTCTCTGTGCGTTGTAATAAACAAAACAAAAAAAAAAGACATACATTTTTTCCAGGTGTTGAGGTGCATTACAGCCCATGCATGGACTGCCTAACTTTATGTAATGTACTGTATGAAAGAAACTGCCATTGTGTGGCCCTCTGGAAGGGTCAGACCTCTAATTTTCAAGATGACCACCAATGGTTTAAGGCGTTGTTCACATGGGCTTCAGAATGTATATTTGTACATCAAGCTTTTTTGGGGGGATCATCTCCCTGTCAAATCTTAAAAATAGCTTTGCTGTACGGGACTGTGCCCACACAGCCGCATTATTCATTCACAGAAATCTGTGAATGAATTACAAGCTCCATCTGCCAGATGGTTTGTAGCTCTCGAACTATGAGAGGGATGAGGAGGAGTGCTCTCACAGTTCATTGACTCTTCCTGTTCTTCAGTAACTATTTGGCTGTATGGATGTACAGGCACACAGCTGTACTGAGTGTCTGCAGGAGCCTGACACCGAAGCCACGATCCACTGATCGCGGGAGCAATGCTTTGCAGAGTGCAGTGTATAAAAATAATATATGCACTTCTTTTGTAAAATTATGTGCATTTATTTATTTATTTTAAAGGTTAGCTTAGCTTTTAAAGTGTTACTAAATCTACAATAGTAAAATCAGTCTTTAAATGGACTAAAGCATCTCTGATGCTCCCCTTTTTCCAGTGCCCCCCACATTTTTAAGACAAATGTGTGGAGTCCCTCCGCACATGCTCAGTTTGGTGTGTATTGCTAGAGGTTTTTTCCTTGGGAGAGTGCATGTGATCAGCACAGGGCCAATCAGAACTGTCCAGACAGGTAAGGGGGTTCTGCATCCTCCTAGAGCAGAATGAAAACTCCTCCTACAAGCTGTAACCAGCGCTCTGCTGGACACTGATAGAAGTCACAAGACTAACAGCTGATGAGAAAAGGTATTTAGCAGTTTATATATTTACTAAAATAATTGCATTTCCGTGTTCTGTGTACTGTGGGAGACCAGATAGGGTGAATGCAGGGTCCTGGGTTTAGGAACGCTTTAAGGATCATTTAGTTCCAATTTGGAAATGCTAAGCACAGATCTTGACTTGTTGTCCCCAGCATTACACATATATGGCCATAAGGCAGTGGGTTTTAACACTGTTCTGCTGCTGTTTTGTGCTGGGAGAGTGCTCCCGGTTACTGTTTATAGATGGGAACTGGTAGAATGGGCTCCCAATAACATATCTATGACAGTCAATCACAGCGATCACATGACCAAGAAGACCAGAGAATGCCTCTGGCACTTCATTATTATTATTAGAGGGGCGGCTCCTGGCAAAAGGAAGGAGTTAATGATTTTGCAGTCCCTTCAAAATGCTGGAAGGCATCAACAGGTTTTAAGTAATGCTGGAAAGGACACCCACTATCAGTTCGTTTACAGTCCCTGTAATCTAGGCTCATGAGTGGAAATACTAATTTTGTAGCTATATCTTCTCACTTCCCTACCTGCTCTATCCAATACAGAAGAAAAAAAATCTGGACTAGAACACGCACCTGGCTATCAGATCCAGTGCTGTCCTCCAGCTGTCAGAGCTTCAGTAATGTGTCACTATTTTGGTCCATTTCAGTCGGCAGCCTCTTCTGGGTTCAGGCAGCCCAGCCCCTGGATGATACATGCAGCTCCTCATCTGCTTTATAAATGGGCTCCCCTGTTGCAAGATTACAGGAGACTGCAGGCAGTAGGGAACAGGCCACCTCAAAAAAAGTAAAAAAAAAAAAAAAAAAAAAAAAAAAAAAAAAAAAAAAAAAAACAAAACCACTGGCTATTACTATTGTGCAAGGGAGGCTGAGCTATGGACCCAGAATGAATGTGAAGTAAACTTCGACCCAAGTGATAAATCCTAAAATGTATTGTCCCCCAACAAGGGAACAAAGCAAAAAAGGTCAAAAGAAAATGGCTGATCCACTGACGATTCAAAATACATTTCAGCCATGAACTATTTCAGAAAATTAAAAATTAAGCTTTTGGAGTAGCCTTCTTAGACTTTCAATATTTATCAAAAATGAAAAACTATGTCAACCTCAAAATAATTATGGAACTAAAAACTTTTGTCAAGGAAAAAAAAATAAAAAAGGAAAACAATGAAATAATGCTAGAGCAAGAAATGGCTACTAGAAATGTTTCAAGGATGTACATTAACACAAGAAACAAATTTGTATCAGGGATGAACAAGTTTTGGAATAAAAAATCCTGAAGCTTCATTTCATACAGCCCATAAAGGCTGTAAAAGCAATCATTTCTCCTCTCTGGCTGCATTCTTGCAGCCATTGAGAAATACTGTGAGAGCTGTGATTGGTCACAGCTTGTCACATGGTACAAGGCTTTTGTGAATAGCCTTCTACCATGTGACCTCTGTGATCATTCACAGATTTCACTAGTAATAAGCAATGATGTCAGGCAGGATTGGCCAATCAGTGTTCATATGATTGGGACCTCACACAGAGGTCCCCGTACAGCGAACCCAGTGAGCGAGCACAGGCAGGGAATGCAGGACGACGTTAATAAATGGCCGCCCCGCTCCTGCACTTCCGTCTGGCCGTTTATGTACATGAGCCAGATGGGAAGTAGTTAAAGTATAACTATAGCCTCCCATTAAAAAGATGTGCTGCAGCATTTATTTATACTATTGATCCTGCTGGTGAAGTCCACCTAACACAGCTTTTTGTGATGGTATGACAACAAAGCTGCACTGCTTCTGAATTTATAGCAGAACTGTTACTCTTGTCTCGTGTGTCTGTCTACTCTACAGTGGGATGAAAAAATGTTGCAGTGGGTGAGGCTATCAGCATTCTCACTGCTGGTTCACAAACCCTTGGCTTATCAATCAGCACCTGCTTTCTGAATTGACCTCACTGCCCATGTTGCTGAAACCCTCCCACTGCGAGCTGCAGTGTCTGGGGAGAGGGGGTGAAGGAGCAATTGAAGAAGGGTTTGACTTACCAGTAAAATCTGTTTCCTGGAGTATGGGAAGGCTGGGTTACATGTAGCTACTTTCAGGTGATTAGGCACTGGCCAAGAGGGTAGAGTTTTGAACTCTATTAAGCAACCCCTTTGCAAACCCCAAATGAAACTGTATCTAGGACCCAGATAGAAGCAAACTATAACAGGTGTCCCCATAACTATTAGGAATGCAGGTACCCCTTTCTTGGTGAAGGCTTGGTGGGATTTGTGACCCAAGATTTACACCTAAACGAAGGGCTGAATGTACGTTTTGGAGTTGAAGCTGTGAAGAACCTTCCCTCCTGTGGCTTGTTTGATGAATTTGTCATGTGTTTCACCAGAGATGTCCTTCATACGTATGAAGCATCTTTTACAGGCTGCCACAGCTGACCAGGCTTTTAGTCACAAGATTCTGCACACATTAAAGGCGTTGATCAACTTTACTTATGAGATCTCACATATAACTTACTGGCACACCATCTCCTTTATACGGTCCCCTTCTTTGGTGTGAGACCCTTTAAACCAACATCAATGGAGGCAATATCTAATCTTTTTTGTGTCCCAATTTTTGATATTCTTATGAAATCTTGAGAGGACACTTTCCTGGGCCATTTTCAGGCCGATCTGGGGGTTTGGGCCATCCAGGTGGAGACCTGGATTCCCCAGGGAAACATCTGTAGACACAGGATATTTTTGCTACACTACGATGCTAATTGTAAGTTATTTGAACACTGACGGTCAGTTCTGTGTATGAACTGCTGTTTTTATAATGCTATGTAGTTTACATTTTTAGCATTTGTAGATTTCTTTGCCTATATATGTAGGTATTTCCCCTCATGAAGACCTGTATGGTTGAAACATGTTGGGAAACATTTATGGCATTGCAATCTACATGCTACTGTATAATTGAATGTATTGGAGTGAACTACAAGCTTTGTAATTTGTTAGCTTTGATGCTATCAATACTGTGCAATTGTGTGCAACAGTATAAACATGAGTTCCATAACATTGAAACCATACAAACAAGACAAGAGCTTTTGGTTTTTAGAGAAAAAAAAATTATATGCAAATAGAATAAAAACTGATTTTTAAGTACTTGGTGTTGTGATAAATGATGTAGCAAAAAATATTGGTCGCTGCAGAAGAGTCGCAGGGGAGACATTGGAGTAGTCTTGTATTATCTATTTGGGGATGTAACAAGAGTCACAATTTCATCACCCCTCATTTCTATTTATGGTATGAAGCTGCAACCTCAGGAGTAAAAAACTAGGGGTAATAAAAAAAAAACACAAAAAAAAAACAAAACATCTTCTGCAGCCTCCTCTTGGCCCTGTACATTCCCCAATATGCCAACTTTTTCTAGGATGAGCATATCGGGATCAAGCTCAGGCAGAGATGGTGGAGCTGCAGAATGAGTCTGGCATTTTGGAGCCCTGGAGAGCGATGATTGTATTAAAGTCATTAGTTGTCTGAGAAATTGAGACTATATTAGCAGAAAAGTCAGGTGGGCCACCTGCCTAAAATAGAACTAGAATCAGATGCAGATGCTTTTGTTAAAATCAGGTCCTACTTTCGTGCAAGGGAAGCAGTTACTTGAAAAGCTGAGGGTCGTGTGTGGGCCTTCGGCATAGCAAATGTTCACCTGAATTTTTTTTCAATGGCTCCCTTTTACCTGGTTTCTGCTATAACCATAGGTATTCCCCTGTGGGTACTCATGGAGTAAGGTGCAAGATAAGCATGTCCAAGAAGAAATATGTAGCAACCCAGGTGCAGACTGTCCAATAGCGAAGTCCTCGTGGCAGAAGGGCTGGAGGAAGCACCTGAGTACCTTATAAGGGCTCTAGATTGAAGTGTGTGACCGATGGTGGGATGTATACCTAGTTAACCACATAAGACTAAGCAGAGCGGGTGAGTTTTAGCACCAAGCTTGAAAAGTTTACACAGTGGAGTGAAATATATTCCAAACTTAGTTCCTGTTTTTAAAGATAGAGTAATCCCCTCTTGCCTGACCAGAACTGTGGACCCAATACAGGGTCTAGGCATCGCCCGTCACGGTGGGCATATTTACAAAGGGGTCTTCAGGGTCTGGGTTCCATATGGATGGACCAAAGCCCTGAACCTGTATAGCACCTTGCTATTAACAATACACATTGCACAAGAAATCCAGTGGCCAAAAAAATATTGCAGGCCATCCCCACAGTGTGCAGTCTGGCTCTCAAAGTCTTACCTATCCAGAGCCCCAGCTTCTATTGTAGTATTGTAAGACAATGGAGATTTAAATATAGAGTTGGCTGAAGAATTCAAAGATGAAATAATGTTAAGCTAAAAGTGATTTCTCCGTAAGGGAGAAGGTGCACTTTGGTTACTTTGAACGTAGACAACTGAGGCGACCGGTTTTCTTAGCCAGAAACTGTACACTGCAGCTACTTTAAAAGTATCATTTCATGAAGGTTAGCAAGAGAAAGGTGATAAACTATGAAAAGGAAGAATGTTTATAAGGCGAACTTACTGCTGAAATTCTGACTGGTGTTGGCATTTAAAGGAAACCTGTGCCAGCAAATATGTGGGCTAGCACTGCTGACCTGTCCCCGTATGCTTGGTTGTCATGTTGATACAAGATGATTGAGAAGTTTGAGTCACTGACAATACAAGTATGCATACCACGATTTCAGACTTTACACGCTACATGCTTGTTAAGGGTCAATATGCAATAAAAGTCTGATCTAGTTCTAAAGATTTGCATTACCTAGCTCTAATAAAACCAAAATCCTTCATAGAGCAGAAGGTTGACAAAAACCCCTGTTGAACAAATTAAAAAAACAAAAACAAATAAAACTTCCCTTTATGTATTTTTTTTATTTTTAATCTGTGAAGCCTACAAATTAGGCAAACAACACCACAGTAAAAACAAATACCCCTTTCATTTTCCATTCCCATAAAAAAAAAAAAAAAAAACAAAAAACAAAAAAAAAAAAAAACAGAAAAACACAAATGAAGAAGACACAATATAGTGTTTGTTTTTGCAAGATATAAATTTCACACATGATCTGTTTAAAAAGGTAAAAATAATTTATAATACACAGATATTTATGTTGCTGTGCCAGCATAGAAAATGCACATGCATCCATGCCTAGCCTATGCGGTATAAAAATAATATTGAACTAAAAATACATAATACAACACTAGCACTGTTTTTTTTTTCTTAAACAAACATGTAAAACATTGACTCTCTCATAGCAACCTCACAGTGACAGGCTCATTGTCATAGGAAAATAATATTTTCATTCACACATCAACATTCGATATTTAGAATATTTATTCAGACCTTTTTGAATTTTTTCTCATACAGTTGGATATTTTGTACCATGCTGGTTTGAGTGGATTTGTTTTTCTTTATATAGTCTCTTAAAGAAATATATATATATATTTAATTTTTTACAATTTTGCAAGTTATTACATTTAAGACATATCATGTGTGTTAAAAGGAACGCAAATTGCATACCAATGCTCTGCAGATTCCATAAGATATTTTACAGGTTATGGATGCAATAAAGAAAGCTGTACCATTATTCCAGGCACACATCCAAGTAATAAAAGGAAAATAAAATGTGAATTACATATCAAAGTTGTGACTGTACAGTTGTTTTCCCCAATCATTTCTCTTTTTTGGATACTAAAATGGCAGAAAGGATTCTGTTGGCATGCAGTTGCAGCAGATATTAACACAGACACTTTCCTCCTCTGGTGCCTATGCATGTCCACTTCATGCATGCAACATACAACAGTTATATAAATACGCAGGATGCATAATTCTAAGTAAAGCAGCTTTCTCCTCTACTCATTCATGCTAATACATAGTTTACCATTTGCATTTTGTATCAAATCACAGTTTTATATTCAGGTATACCACAGCTATGAGACTACCATTCGTTTTCCAAATGTAGGCAAGAATCAACAGTCTTCAATTTAACCCATACAGCCCAATAACCCACCCCTACATACAAGAAAAAGGAACTGAAATGCAAAATACTTAAGCAGCATATGCCTGGACAATTTTCTTGTGAAAACGGTTTTGTAGAAAATACACCTAAAACATAAGTAGAGTAACAGTTAACAGTGACAGCTCCAACATTATTTTATAGAAACCAATTGCAGAACTGTTTACACAATCCATTACTAGTAACCTTGGCCTGATAAACACAAAAGGCATCACAAAAGCATATGGAGGCACCTCAGGCATGTATGGTAAAAATGAGAGACTTTAATGCATTACTAGCCTGGAAGAAGATGGGCTTGTAATTAAGTTGAATACTTTATTTTTGTAAATTCCCCTAAAGATTTAAACTCAATTTTAGCCAACTGGTTTCAGCCCTTGGATTATTCTAGATCATGAACAATAATTAAACAAGCGGTGAAACTTTTGAAAATATTTCTGATTTTATAACAACTTTGAAAATCTGTCTGAATTTCTTTTTTCTAATGGAATACTGCTAACGCACTGGGATGGAGGGAGAAGACCCCCCCCTGCTGGGTTT